GTACAGAAATCAATAAGATGTGACGCTTAAACCCCAGCCTGACTTAAAGGAGACTCATAAGATACTCCACCCGACAAAAGAATGTATAATAGCCAAGTTTACATGGAACGTTCATCAACCATACTTTGGGCTAGAAAACAAATTTACATACATTTAAAAGGATTGGAATAATGCCAAATATGTTTTCTGAACACAACGGAATCAAATCAATGACAAAAAGATGGTTAGAAAAACCACCACATATCATAAACCAAACGTTACACTTATAAAATAAGCAACAAATCAAAGAATAAATCACAAGATAAGTGAGCAAATATTTTGGATTGAATGGAACTGCACTGTAGATACATGACTTTGGAAGCTCCTAAGTATCAAAAACTTCTCTCATAAAAATGATGTGGTGCTGACAAATGTGACTTTAAATAATGGAATACACGTCAAGCACACTGCAGCACACCAACATTTGGAAGCATTACCCAACACTTCCAAATAGTCACTGAATTACATTACATAAGATCCATTCTGTGTAAGCTGGGCCAGGGGATTTTATCATAGGAACACAGAGTTCTTTCATTGTGGTTTCAGAGGCTATACTGAAACTAATAAACTTTTAAGAAAATAGCCCACCAACGCCAGGCAGTGGTGGCGAATGCCTTTAATTCCAGCACTTGGGAGGCAGAGGCAGGTGGCTCTCTATGAGTTCAAGGCCAACCTGGGCTACAGAGCAAGTTTCAGAACAGTTAAGACTGTTAAAACAGAGAAACTCTGTCTCAAAAAACAAAAACACAAAACAAAACAAAACAAAAAAAAAAAAAAAAAAAAAAAAAAAAAGAAAAGAAAAGAAAATAGCCCTTACCAAGCTTGGTGTGGTATTTTAAAGAATTTCACAACTGTCTGAAAAGCTTGTTAAATACTTCCCCTTTTCTCAGCTGCATATGCTGAGACAAGGCTTTTTTCATCTCTTAGCAGACCAACAAATTGCAACAGCTATGCTGTAGCAGATGAGAATCCAACTGTGTCCTGCAGCCAGGCAGTAAGATGACTTGCAGAATCTGTAAAGCAACCCACTCTTCTAATCACATTAAACTTCAAAGTATATTCTCTTAGAATATCATTTGTTATTAACATATAAGGGGCCTGCTATGTTATCTATTTTTTTGTTTGTTTTATTTTTTGGTTTCTTGAGACAGGGTCATAAGAAGGCCAGACCGGATATAGCTGAAGTTACACTTGATCTCCTGGTTAAATACTTACTAATTATCTCATGTCAAGATAAAAAGTCTTGAAACAATAACAAGAATGATTTAGTAACCAAGCTAATTGCATTTCTAAAAGCAAAACATGACCTTAGGTACCTATGATATATAGAGTTGGCACCCAGAAAACTGTCAGATGAGGATGATATAATATTAACAGTCTTGACTGCTCCAAAGAGAACTAACTACCACAATGTGAACTGACAGGAACTCAATGAACTAAAATTACCAGATTTTATAAGGGTTTACTGAGAACTCCAGCTTATTACCATACTTAATGGCCAAGCCATATGTATGCCCAGTGGTGGCCATGCCTGGGATGGGACAGACACCTGACCAAGTTTGGTGAGAGGCCGCCAAGGTATCAGGAGCTAGACTCAGCATGGCTGGAAGTACTTCATCTAACTTGAACAGTTAGTTCTGAGAAAAGGTTTATACGACCTCTTTGTGCCTCGTTTTCCTTAAAACAGATAATCATGAGATCATAGTGTTACTGTGAGAATTCTAAATGTAAGGCACTTAGAGGAGCCAAGGGCATGTGAACACTTGGTAAATACCATTATTGCATAAGATTTCACTGAAATGTGGCGGGAGAAGGTGGAAGTACAATCTACAGAATGGCTGAGGGTATGGGGAAGACCAAAGTATTCTAAAAGTGAATTATGAAATCTATGAGTTCCAGGGTTAAAGATCCAAAATGTGACCTACAATTACAAGAAAACCCACGTACTAGAGAAGCATCACTCAAAGATGGTTGTGTATGGTGTTGGTTTTAAAGCGGCGCTTTTACTCTGCGAGGAAAATCACCAGGCACGACAACACTCGTTATCAGAGCAGAGCTTTATTGGGGGGGGGGGAACAGAAGAGAATGACCAGGCCTGTGAAAAACACGTGCAGAGAGAGAGTGTGGGGAGGAGAAGAAGGAAGAAGAGGGGGAGGAGTCTACGATCCGCTTCTTACGGATTCCCAGCACATGCGCACATGGGTTTACAGAGCTACACCACATATGCACAGATTGCATAATCACGCTGCGCACAAAGTACATGATCACACAGCACACGGATTACATAGGACGTAAGGCCCCTTACTTGGCTACTGAACTGCGCATGTGCGGTCATATAGTTGGAGGAGTGGCTGGAATTCCAACATGTGGTGTTGAGATTTGGAAGCATTTACTGAATATTTTCAATATCAACTCATTTATCTAATGGCCATAAGAGTACAGAGGCTCTGCACACGGGGGTGCACTGCCGGAATCCCACACTCAAGATGTGGAGACAAGGATGGTCTACACAGTGAGAGCTCCTCAAGAGAGAAAGGAAAAGAAAACAGAGAGAGGAGAGGGCGAAAGTGGGGAATTCAACCAACAACGAGGGTGTATTTCCCCATTTTTATAAAAAACTTTGTTTTTGATTTTTCGAGACAAGGTTTCTCTGTGTAACAGCTCTAGTTGTCCTGGAACTTGCTCTGTAGCCCAGGCTGGCCTTGAACTCACAGAGATCCGCCTGTCTCTGCCTTCCGAGTGCTAGGATTAAAGGCGTGCGCCACCATCCTGGGTAAAAAAAATCTTTTTAACTTCTTAAAAGGTTAATAAAAGAAAATCATAAAACTATTTGTAGTTACAGTAACTACGTGAATACCTTGACTCAATAAGAAAAAGAAAACACAGGCAGAACAGCGACAGTGTGAGACGCCAAAGAGAGGGGTCCAGAGCACACACAGAGAGGGGTCCAGAGCACACACAGAGAGGGGTCCAGAGCACACACAGAGAGGGTCCAGAGCACACACAGAGAGGGGTCCAGAGCACACACAGAGAGGGGTCCAGAGCACACACAGAGAGGGTCCAGAGCATACACAGAGAGGGGTCCAGAGCACACACACACACACAGAGAGGGGTCCAGAGCACACACAGAGAGGGGTCCAGAGCACACACAGAAAGGGGTCCAGAGCACACACACACAGAGAGGGGTCCAGAGCACACACAGAGAGAGAGAGAGGGGTCCAGAGCACACAGAGAGAGAGAGGGGTCCAGAGCACACACAGAGAGGGGTCCAGAGCACACAGAGAGAGAGAGGGGTCCAGAGCACACACAGAGAGGGTCCAGAGCACACACAGAGAGGGGTCCAGAGCACACACAGAGAGGGGTCCAGAGCACACACAGAGAGGGGTCCAGAGCACACACAGAGAGGGGTCCAGAGCACACACAGAGAGAGAGGGGTCCAGAGCACACACAGAGAGGGGTCCAGAGCACACACAGAGAGGGGCCCAGAGCACACACAGAGAGGGGTCCAGAGAACACAGAGAGAGGGGTCCAGAGCACACACAGAGAGGGGTCCAGAGCACACACAGAGAGAGAGGGGTCCAGAGCACACACAGAGAGGGGTCCAGAGCACACACAGAGAGGGGCCCAGAGCACACACAGAGAGGGGTCCAGAGAACACAGAGAGAGGGGTCCAGAGCACACACAGAGAGGGGTCCAGAGCACACACAGAGAGAGAGGGGTCCAGAGCACACACAGAGAGGGGTCCAGAGCACACACACACAGAAAGGGGTCCAGAGCACACACAGAGAGGGGTCCAGAGCACACACAGAGAGAGGGGTCCAGAGCACACACAGGGAGGGGTCCAGAGCACACACAGAGAGGGGTCCAGAGCACACACAGAGAGGGGTCCAGAGCACACATAGAGAGGGGTCCAGAGCACACAGAGAGAGAGAGGGGTCCAGAGCACAGAGAGAGAGAGAGGGGTCCAGAGCACACACAGAGAGGGGTCCAGAGCACACAGAGAGAGAGAGAGGGGTCCAGAGCACACACAGAGAGGGGTCCAGAGCACACAGAGAGAGAGAGAGGGGTCCAGAGCACACAGAGAGAGAGAGGGGTCCAGAGCACACACAGAGAAGGGTCCAGAGCACACACAGAGAGGGGTCCAGAGCACACACAGAGAGGGGTCCAGAGCAGGAGTGGTCCTGGGTGGGGCAGGGAGGATGGGGGTGGGGGAGCGGAGGGTGGTGGTGGTGGGTAGCTGGACTAAAGGGGAAATACTCCCCTCTATAGATTAGTAATGGTGTCGGACTCTGGAGCTACGCCTCTTAGGGCAAGGCAGAGTCACAGAAGCAAGCTCCCTGGGACCACGCCCTCTTGCTCCATGCCTCAGGCAAAACAGAAACCAAAGCAGGGAATTTGCAAAATCGCTCCACAAAACAAACTGGCGGTTTGAGTTAGAATATACTAGAGAGGACATGGTGGTCTACAGACCCTGTTGTCAGCCCTGCCAATGTGCAGCAAAAGACTTCCATGTTCTGACTTCTGTCATCAACACTGGGAGCCCAGAACTCTCAGGCCAGAAACCACCTGGGGAAACCACAGCCTGAGCAGAGACTGAAGGCAGAGGCAGCCTGGTCAACATGGAGAGCAGCTTCCATCTACCTCCCCACTGACAGAACAAGAATTTCTGTGCGGCTGAGGGAAATGAAGCTTTCCACACGGTCTATGCTTCCAGTACAATCTAAATGTGGCAGGCATTGTTTGAAGGTGGAGGGTATGGAGCCAGTGCCGCTCAGCTGTGTAAGGCAAATGTCGGCCTCTCTGGAGCAGGTCTTCGGCTTCAGTGGGTCAAACGGTCAGGTCTCACGCGACTACTTATACGAGAAAAAGCCAGTTAAGGAAGAAGGGACCGGCGAACTTCTAATTTAGGATTGCTCTCAGGAGCGAATTCTTATCAAGACTAAAAAGAATGTATAACTCACCCGGAAAATATCTGTCTTGTCTCCAAACAGATTGACAAAGTATTTATAGTCAGCATAGGCCCAGAATTTGGAATGGTCATAATCTTTAAATGGTCCAGGGACACTAGACTGGTCACAGTTCCAGGTCAGAAACTCCTCAAGGGTAGCGTCCACGTAACTACAAGCAGTTTCAAACTGAGGAACTGCAACATAAGGAACACAACTTGAAATGTTTCACAAGCACAGCATCTTCATACTTTAACAGGTAAATTTGACCACAATATTGTTTACCAATAGTTAAAAATGAATTTTGTACTTGTTCATATAACAATTTACATCACTCACAATAAAATAAAAAGAATGGTTTTGTTTTTAAGATTAACGACTATCCTCCAAGCCAGACCTACAGACCCTGCCTAGCATGAAGGTTGAGGTAGGAGGATCTTGGGTTTGGGCTACACAGTGAAAATAGGGGGGCAGGGAGAAAGGGGAAAGAGAAGGAAGAGACAGGAAGGGGGGGAATGGTGTGAGGAGGAGGGAGGAGGGGCTAAAGATCACCTTTGTTATAGTATGTTCCAGATCTCCACTCTGGGGGTCTGTGTCCACTCCTAATAATGCTCACACCTTCCTTCCTCAGTCTCACTGGCTCACGAGTGTGCGTTCTCCAGTGGCTGCCGACTGTGATGGCCCATCCCCCCTGTCAACCTGACTGAATTTAGGTCACCTACAAGACACATCTCTAGGCATGCTGTGAAAGTGCATCCAGGGGTGCTTAACCTAGGAAAGAAGACTCCCTCTGACACCAATGGTGTGGAGAGCCAGCGTGAATGGAAAGTAAGAGAACAAGGTCTGAGGAATGCCAAGATTCACCCAACTACGACAACTGTGAAACCTCTTGGCCATGGGTCTAGTGGCAGATGTAGGATTAACAGGACAAGGCTAGAAGATCACACAGCCCAGCCCAGTTCCAGTCTAAGCTGTCTGCTTCACGACCCACTGATAAATCACCAGCCACGTGGCAAGCACCTACTACCAAGAGCTAAGCCAATCCAGCTGCCATGCTTCTCCCACCATGATGCACTCTACCCCTCCCCCTGCTTTTTCTGAAACAGGGTCTCTCTGGCTGTCTGGGAACGCACTATGTAGACCAGGCTATCCTGGAACCCACAGGGATCCTCCCGCTCTGCCTCCTAAGCACCGAGATAGGTTAAAGGCATGCATCACCACGCCCAGCCACACTGTATCCCTTTAAACCAGGAGCCCAAATCAAGTTCTGTTCCCTTAAGCTCTATTGGGTGAGAGTAACAATACATCCAATCTCAAAAAACTAAAAGCAAAACCCACTCCAGGCAAAGATGAAGCTTTAAGTAGACAGAGGACGTGCAGACCCATGTAATTAGATGCAGACAGAACACTGTGCCACAGACTCTTCGGAAGGAAAAGCATCACAGCTGACAGAGACTAGAGGAACTCTGAGGGGACGTCTACGATCAGGGTAAGTCTACGATCTGCGCCCGCTGGCTTGTTCTCTTATGAATCTGATGCCAAGGAGTCAAGGCTACGCTAAATGGAAGGAAAGCGTCTGCAAGTTGCAGTGTTTTAAATGAACACAGGGAAATTAATATTTAAGAAATCTAATTATGAGCCCCTTTGCAAAGCATGAAACCCTTTCAGGATGGGGGTGTGGGGTACAGCCTAGAGCCTGACACACAGCACATGCTCAGTAAATGTCAAGCACTATTATTAGTCCTTCTTATTCAGTCCAGTGTTGACCTGGAACCTTTTCCAAATTAAAGGAGTCAACAGAGAGATACTCAAGCTCTTCTTTCAACAGCTTCTGTCTTTCCCCTCCTTCATCACCCATTAGGATTATCCAACCATCTTTATCCCTTCCCTTCCTTTTCTTGGAACTACCAAACCACAGAGGTGGGACAGAAGCAGGATGATGTCATCTAACCCATCTACCTCATCGACTCATCAACTTGACTTTGTGAAGTGGGAAAACTTAAGTAGGCCACGTTGATCTAAAAGACAAAAATCTATACACTTAGGAAACATTTCAATTTTGACAACTTTTGAGAAGCATTGAGGAGCAGTGCCCGGCAAGCAGCAAACCACTGATATGTACAAGCTCTTAACGACATTGGCATCCTCATGAATTCACCATAAAACCAAGAGTGAACGGAATTCATTCTGACAGAAATGTATGTAGCAAGACAGTTTTCATGATTCCGAGAACCGGAGCCTTTTCTAATCCCTACAGCAAACTCAGGAAAATGCATGAGTTTCCCTACATAGAATCAACCCAACTGACTGACTGAGTGCTGAAGTCCTTAGCTGAGCAACCTGGCCCTGGGGTGGGAGGACAGGACATTTCAGTGACGGCATTTACCACCAGCACATCTGCATGGTGGTCTTCAAAAAGTGGGCCTCGCTAGAGGACTTCATTTCCTGTCACAGCAAATTCTGCACGTTAAAAATGAAAATCTAAAAAACGTAAAAACTACGTTTGAGAATTATTACTCCCAGGGGAAAATTAAAATGAGCAGAATGAATGGGAACGACAGATCTTTCCATTTACAGAATGATTTCAAAACAGACTCTTTCCACTCCGGCCGAGGAGCGGCAGCACAAAGTGGTGTTCTGATTTCATGGTGACAGTCCCCTCTGGTAGCATGCCTGCTTTCTTTGGTTTGCTTTCTGCAGGGGGATTGCTCCTTTTAACCTCATCACTCTGTTCTTTTATTTAACGTTGAAGCAGTTCGGGCAGCTCCACCTCCAACCACTTAACTGCTAAGTATTAGGCAAGAAGCAGCTGCTCCAGTCCAAGATGTCACAGCCAATTACAGAGCAAGCGTGCCTTGAACTCTAAAACAAAGGGTTATATATATATATATATTTGCCCAGCAGGCAAGCAACTCTTTTTCCATTTCAGAATTTCCTCACTTTACCAACTAGACAGAATGAGTGGAGAGGGCCCCTGCACAGGACTTCCGGCCGCTCCACTCCATTCCTTTCCCACTTACAGCTGTTTGGCACTTTTCTAAAATGGTTGATAACTGTTGCTGTCTGAAGTATAGTACAGCCAGTGAGCACACATCTCGACAGATGAATTTGGTTAAAAATGGGTTCAAAGACCTACATGCTATTCACTATCTGTGTCCTAAAATAAACTCAGGAAGGCATTGTGTTTTTGTTTTTTGAGACAGAGTCTTATTGTGTAGGCCAGGCTGGCCTCAAACTCAGAGATCAGGCTACCTCTGCCTCCCAAGGTCTGGGAGCAAAGGCATGTGCTATCATGCCTGGCTTTGAAAGAAAAATTTTTAAAAAATATGCTATAACTGTAGATAATTGTAATATATTAAGCATTTCAAAGAGCTAGGAGAAAGGATTCTGAATAATTTCACTACAAAGAACTAACAGACATTCAGAGCGATAAATATGCTCACCTAACTTAAACATTAGCAATGTCTACATAAATTGAACACAGTACTCCATTAACATGTAAAACTTTTATGGTTTCTGTGTATTAGTTAAAAATAAATAATAATGCCAATTACTTTTTTTTTTTTTTTTTTTTTTTTGGTTTTTTCGAGACAGGGTTTCTCTGTGTAGCTTTGTGTCTTTCCTGGAACTCGCTTTGGAGACCAGGCTGGCCTCGAACTCACAGAGATCTGCCTGCCTCTGCCTCCCAAGTACTGGGATTAAAGGCGTGCGCCACCACCGCCCAGCTGCCAATTACTTTTAAAAGCTAGTTACTAATACTACTGTTTCAAGGATCCCAGAAAAAAATTCTAAACAAGACCTAAGACAGATATAAGAAATATACTCAAATACAAAAGAAACAAAAAATATAATTATTTATAAAATTATGTGCCTGTCTTTCTGTAAGACCTACAGGAACAAACAAATACCTACCTACACCAAAAAGTAGTGGATATAAAAATCAACAGAGAAATAAATAGCTTTTATCTATGTATCAACCAAAAAACAAACAAACAAACAAACAAGCAAAACCCCACCATAATGAGGCCATGTAGAGACCTTGTCTCAACTTTCCCATTATATACATATTGGGTAAAAATATTTTCTTTACATTTGCTGTAAATAATGATAACCATAAACCTTTTTGCTGACAGACTTGGTAGGTAAAGGTAACGTTTTTGTGTAGAAAGATACAATTTTACGACAATGTAAACTTCTTTCCAAAAATTAATTTTTAGAGCTTAATGAGTTTTCATTGAAAATCTCAACAAGGACCGGGCAGTGGTGGTCCACGCCTTTAATCCCAGCACTGGGGAGGCAGAGCCAGGCGGATCTCAGTGAAGCCAGCCTAGTCTATAGAGTGAGATCCAGGACAGGCACCAAAACTATACAGAGAAACCCTGTCTCGAAAAAACAAAAAAAAAAAAAAAAATCTCAGCAAGGGAAAGCATTGGGATCATTCAGTGGGTAATGGTGCTTACCCTGAAAGCACAGGGATCTGAGTTCAAATCTCCAAAACTATACAAAGGCTGTATAGTTCTGCATGTCTGTACCCCTAGCATTGGGAAGCAGGGACAGGTGGATCCTAAAAGCTTGCCTAACCGTGAACTTCCAGTTCAGTTCAGTGAAAGACCCTGCACCCAGGCAGTGAGGCAGAATCCCAACACCCTGCTCTGGTCTCCACATGTGCATATCTCATGTAGAAGCATACTCATGTACAGGCACCACACAGACAGACAGACATATACACACCCCAGATGGGTTTATTTTCTTTCTTTCTGTTTTATATTTTTGTTTGTTTTTCTGAGACGGTTTTGGGGTGTGTGTGTGTGTGTGTGTGTGTGTGTGTGTGTGTGTGTGTGTGTGTCTGTATGTATAGCCCTAGCTGTCCTGGAACTCCCTCTGCAGACCAGGCTGGCCTCGAATCCACAGAGATCCTCCTGCCTCGGCCTCCTGAGTGCTGGGATTAAAGGTATGTGCCACCACTGCCTGGCCTTTGTGTGTGTGTGTCTTTTGAGACAGGCTCTCTCTATGCAGCCTTGGCTATTCTGGAATTCACTATGTAACCAGGCAGCCTTGAACTCACAGAAATTTGCCTCTGTCTCACATCAGAAAGGTTTCTTTATAGTGAGCAGTCTATGTAACTATAAAGTCCATTTGGATGAATAAAATTCAAAGATATCGAGGAAAAGAAGAATAATGGAAGATCAGAGTAGAC